AGTTTTGGGCAGATTGAATTCTACTTTGGTGTTATATCTAGAGTCTGAGGAGATTGTAAGGTATGGTTCCTCAGAATTATAAGATCTGGTTTTGGCAGTAATGTGGAATTTCTTTGGGGCGAAGTTAAAGTCTTCGGCGAACTTGATGTAGTTAATAGTTTGGTATTTCTCAGTGAGATAGAGATTAAGATAGGCAATATTAAGACAAACTAGTAGTCTCTGTACGTTGAGTCTGGCCATCATTTTCTCAAGCCTTCAGATATAGAGGCTTTACCGCCCGCCTCCATACTCCATTTTTCTTACTAACTACAATGGATGTATCTTTTAGTAAGGTGGTGGCTGTATTAATGTTAATTGTAAAGATACTATAGATGTCTTAGTTTAGTATTTGTGTTTATAGTATTTGTGTTTGTGTTTGTGCTTAGTGTTTTTGTAACGTATTAAACCCTTATATAGATTTATCATAGGTTTGTACTGACTATTCTACAATGTTCAGGGATACATTTATATATATTAGCTTGCATTCCTCCATATTCCTAATTATGACTCCCTGCAGTATAGGTTTTCGAATATGGATACTATATTTGGGAATATTTGTGTTTATGCATATTTGTGAAGCTAACATATAATCCTACTCTATATGGTTAGGATAATCCTTATTAGATTTATCATAGGTTTGCACCAACTATTCTACAATGTTTAGGAATACATTTATATATACTGGCTTGCATTTCTCTATATTCTTAATCATGACTCTCTGCAGTACAAGTTTTTGAATATAGATACTAACTTGGGACTTTGCGAGTAACTTTCCTAATTGGGATTAGCCTTGTAGAATCTTTATACAATGGGTCGCCAATTCGTTTTTCAACTCGAGTTGGTATAACCACAATTACAGTCAGAGACCAGCACCAATTAAGTTAGTATATTCTTCTTTTGGAAGGATATTCAAGATATAGTTTTCAAATATCATCAACAGTAGGAATTAAACTCTAGATCTTAATACTCAAGATGTGACAACTTAACCACTTTACTAAGTCACTACACCCTTTAATTAATATCTATTAAAATTTTAATTATATATATATTTATAAATAAAAGAAAAATTTGTCTAAATATAGGCAATTCTTTAAT